CCTCTCTGGAACACAATCTGTTACTGAGCACTAAGGATGTGGAAAGGCAGACAAAAATGTTCCATCATTAAGAATGGATCTTAGGGCCCCCATGAGACATACAGGATATCACATAGCTCCAGTGGTAGGATTCACCGGTTCTGTGGATGTGGCTTTGTGGGCATAATTTGGTGGGCATGGCAGGGGAAGGATACTGAAAAATCTCCATTCCCTCCCCACCCCACTAACCTGGGCAACAGAAAAAGATCAGCTGGGAGGTGGCAGGGGCGGGGCCAGCCTATTTGCCGGTTCTCTGAACTACTCAAAATTTCTGCTACCGGTTCTCTAGAACCTGTCAGAACTGGCTGAATACCACCTCTGCATAGCTCCATGGAGACTGTCCTATATATTTCCTCCCAGAAGCTTTTAGAAGGGTGAACTGAACAAACACGAAGAAACATATTCTCAATCCCATTTAGGAGACTGTTTTATTCATATCTGGATCACCAATCATATATGGTAGATCTCAGCCCAAAGATGCAGGCTTCAGCAGAAGTATAGGAGAATGAATTCAAAAAGGCTTGTGTCCTAGGGCATTCATTTTTTCTTGTTTGTTTTGAGGACAAAGCTTAAGCAAAAGAAAGAACTCCATGGAGGCACATCCTCGGAATACAAATCTTATATAACTGAAACCAAAACAAGGATAGTTGGCCTGCAGACTGAAAACTGCCATTAGCACAATATTTTTTTTAAAATCACTTCTATATGGTTATCCAACTAATTGCTTAGATAAGTGCATTTCAGTTAGCAAAATAGAATGTTGCCATGAAATTACTTGATTTTAGTCCAAATAAATGTTATTCCCTTTCAGTAAAATAATGCAAAAGTTCAACATAGATTCGAATTGGCAGAAGGTTGTGATGGTTAACTTTTGTAAGTAGAGGTTGGGTCAGCTTCTGTTTACTGAAACCTTTCAGTTTGACAAGGTGTCTAAACTTTGGTGTACAACTATGATGTATTTGGAATTGTATTTTCTCTTTGGTTCTTTGGATTTTGTCATTTGACTACAATTATTGTTTAAGGTAAATCTAAATTGTTTTAAATTATTTTTTCTAGGAAGCAGAATGTGCCTACACATTGTTTGTGGTTGGTGTCTTCTGGCTTACAGAAGCTTTGCCTCTGGCTGTTTCTGCATTAATTCCTGCTTTAATGTTTCCACTGTTTGGAATATTGCCTTCAAAAAAGGTATATCTCTTCTGTTTGTTTCTTTTTCTCTACTGTTACTCCACCAGTCAGTCAATTTATATTTCAAAGATTACAATGCTCCAGGGGTAAAATGCTCTGAAATGTGCTCCCAGGTGGCTTGTGCGCTTTGCACGCTTTGCACACTTTGTGCACATGTGCGCCAAACATTTTTTTACTTTTTAAAGTAAAAAAACTTTGGTTTTTTAGTTTTTAAAGTAAAAAAAAAATTACTTTTTAGCATTTTTTACTACTGGTTTTCCTGAATCAGTAGTTAAAAATGCTTTAAAAAGTTTTTAAAAATTGCGACAATCACGTGGCACAGCTGATTGTTGCACAGCTGATCCTTGGAATTTTTTTTTTAACTTTGTAAAGCATTTTTTTTACCACCAGTTCTGGTGAACATTTTTTCTACCGATTTGAGTGAACCAGCCTGAACCGGTAGCATTTCACCCCGATGTACTATTTTGATCAGATGTTGGTTTATAATGTGCCAAATGCTAAAAAGAGGGCTATGGGATCTAAACTGCCAAAATCCAGATCACCACTAGGCCAGAAAAGATACACAAGTCTGATTCTTTGCTTCCATTTGGTTGCTATTTATGGAACCAATGAAATAATCCTACTAAAAAGCCCTGAGTTCACTTAGAACACATCTTGAAACCATCCTGACTTGCATTTATTTCTGCATTAGAGACAATTGTGATGCAGAAATTTAAAAACAAAGCCAGTCTGGTACACTGATTAATAATACCAGGCTAAAACCCAGGAAACGGTGAGTTCTAATCCCACTTTAGGCATGAAGCTGCTGGGTGACCTTGAGCCAGTCACTCTCTCTCAAAGCAGTGATAAACCAATTCCAAAAAATTTGCCAGGAAAACTGCAGGAACACAGAAAGATGACTGAGCAGGCTGCACTATGATGACACTTGCTTGCTTTTGATACTAAAAACGAAATCACTTTTCATGAAATGAGCTACAGAATGACACTGATATCACTTAGACAACTAAGATACTAAGGAGTGAATGAAAATGACTTCCTACACTCATAATCTAAATTTATCCTACAGTTGCCTAATTCTTATTAGCTTCGTTTATTTTATTTATCTCATATTTCTCTCAGATGAGGGGCACTGCAGCCACTAGCCTGCATCATTTCACCCCCAAAACTGCTTCATTTTTTTTGTTTTAAAAACTCTCCCTTTATTCCAGATGAGCCAATGTGTTTTGTGTTTTGAATACAAAAGTTTAAAACCATGCACTTAGCTAATAAGAGTCATTTTGATTTTTAGGTGGCATCTGCTTATTTTAAAGATTTTCATCTGCTCTTGACTGGTATAATTTGCCTGGCAACATCAATTGAAAAATGGAATTTGCACAAGAGAATTGCCCTGAAAATGGTGATGCTGGTGGGTGTTAACCCTGCATGGTATGTAGCACCCACTGTGTGTGTGTGTGTGTGTTTGTGTGTGTGTGTGTGTGTGTGTGTGTGTGTGTGTTTGTTTGTGTCTGTATGTATGAAGGCACCATTGAAATTCAATTTGGCTCAGAAATGACTCTGCTTTGCAAGCACAGCTGCCTCCTCTTTTCTTGATATTTTGTTGTCCATTAGCAACCACACACTGGAAAGAAATTCAACAGGTGCTGCTTTAGTACAGTTCCACTGTAACAAAGAGGATAAGAAACAACAGGGCAAGTTGAGCTGCAAGGCATTGTCTGTTTACAGACCAGGATTACTGCTCTATTTGGCTGCTAAAGAGATTTGCTACGGCCAGCCTTTTGCTGAAATTTAATTATATGTATCATTGGGGCGAGAAGACAAGTTGCACATGAAATGCTTCTGTTATTGACGATAATGGTGGATGGCTTGGAACGAAATAGCAGATGAACTAGTGAACAACTCTGACTCATCCTCCTTAATGGCTGAGATTAGGCAACCCACGAGATCTTTAATACACTGCATCACTATTATTCAATTTATAGTTTAGGTAGTTCCAGCAGCAATTTCAGACTCAGAGGAATATTCTGCCTTTCCCCCAATTTGCCGACTGTTCTTACAAAGAAGAAATTAAACCCATGCTGTGCTCTTTTTTATTGCTCTCAAGGAGTCAGATGGCCCCTACTGTCTCTTGTCAATCCCATCAGCAAGTCAAAAAAGGAGTTTGTAAGCACAGCAGGCTCCCTGAGTCTGAATTGCCAGTGGCTGCTGCGATGGGGAAACAGTAAGCTGTCACTTACCTCTTTGATTGCAAATTAGCAATGTTAGCTAAAGCAGGAGCGTTTCCCCTCCTGATGTTCAATGTGGGTGAACAGGAAGCCACAGTAAGAGACAGTAGATATGCTGATGCATTCCTACCAGCAAACCTACCAGCAATACCTGAAAAGAAAAAAGAGGTGGACCTTCAATTGCAGTCATAGCAGCCATCTTGATATTTTGCACACATGGGCATTCCTGCTGGACACCAAGGGATGGATCCAAAGGTAACCATATGTAGCCATTTTGGGTGATCTAAAAAGTTAAGTAGGGTTAGCCTTGAATAGTATTTGTATGAGAGGTCACTAGGAAATCTTATGCCAATATAGAACAGACTAATGTTTCTCAACTGTCATGTTAAGTTGGAAGGTGGGGATATTCAGGGGTGAAGGCGGATAAATTTAGCCCAGGATAATGTACAGTAGCAAAATCCAATCTGGGTTGGTCACCAAGACCAGAGGTTTGTCCCCTGAGCTTTTGGATTTGTGTTGGATCCCATTCTCAGGGAATTTCTCTCTAGCAGAGTGTGTGCTTTAGGTTATTTTGTGTGTTGTAGTTATATGGTGCCTGGTGTGTGGCTTTTTAGTCATTGATGGAGTTGTTGATGGCTGGCTATTAAATTGCTGGCTGCCATTTCCTTGTGCTGCCAATTCCTTGTCTCCCAAGTACTTGATAAAACTGGTAGTAAAACTGGAGTTGATGGCCATCCCTCTTAAAGTGGCTACGGTTGAGAAACACTGAAATAAACTAAAAGTTCAACTTTTATACTTATCTTCTCAGAGAAATTTAAGCTGCAGTTCTATAGATATTCACATGGGGATACGTTTCAGTAGTTTCAGTATTTAGTTATGTAAATTACACATTTAGACTATAATACAGTAATCAGTTTCCTGAGACCCAAGTATTTTAAGTATCATGTCACATGTAGAATGATGTCTTATTTCTCTTTGCAGTAATGTGAGTATGCAATGTGAAATATGCAAAGTATATTTCAAACAAGAATAATTGAGAGTAAGCAATATTTTTATTACACACATATAAACTTGTTTGGTTGCTCCAATGTCTAGAATTGCAACCTAAGCCTCATGATTTTGTGATTTCAAATTAGTAAAAAGTTCAGATAGACAATAGAAAAATAAATAATATATTTACTTAGAATTACCTTTGTAATCTGGCTGTCTTCATACTATTAAATACCGGTATATATATATACAGAATAAAACTCCAAAGTAATGACAATTTAGTGCTGCATCTAAAGTCTCACACTTCTCCAATCTTACAAGTGAGTGAACAAGTCACAAAGTTTAAATTTATTATACTTTTTGATTTAGTTTGGTCTGGGAAGTTATACCAAGGAAAGGGGAAAAAAGTTAATAAGCTACAGCTGCCCCATGCATCTTTCCTTATCATCTGTAATGACTTTTCCCAGAGGGAAACTAAATAAATTGATCTTTCTGATGCTTATAATATGTTTTTTGGAATTAAACATATTTGAAATTCCTTCCACTGGAATGACACATTCATCATAATTGACTCATGCCTTTGAATTTGTTCAGTCCTGCAACAATCAGTTCTCAATACCTTCATGCTTGCGTGCAGAGATGGGTTGCCAATTTTTTACTACCATTTCGGGCATGCTCCTGTGCTCGCTCTCATTCACATGTGAAGCTTCTGTGCATGTGCAGAAGCTTCTGAGCATAAGCATCTGGGCAGGTGGGCGGAGCCTCCTGTCACCGCTACTACCAGTTCGGCCAATCCGGGCCGAACCGAGAGCAACCCATCTCTGCTTGCATGCATTATATATTATCAAGTCAGCATTTTGATCAAAGAACATTTTACACACTTTTCTGTAAGAGAAATAGAATATAGGTTTGCCTTCAGATAGTATTTAATTTAACTCAATTAAATAAAATTAGTTTGCTAGGTTAGGCAGAGTTTTTTTAATTATACAGTAACATTGTCATTGGTTGTAAATTTGTCATGAACTCAAAACTTTTGGCAGCAGATTGCTGTTGCGTTTTCACAATGGGTGTTTTAATGGAGTATTATTGCCTTTAGTGGTATTCTTTAATATTATTGAATAGCAATAGCAATAGCACTTAGACTTATATGCCCCTTCATAGTGCTTTTACAGCCCTCTCTAAGTGGTTTACAGAATCAGCATATTGCCCCAACAATCTGGGCCCTATTATCAACTTTAACAAAAGTTTAAAAAAAAATACTTTAGAAATTTATTAATGAATGCATATAGGTTAGACACTAAAAGCATACTCTGTTCAATATAGTTTGTGAANTGATGCCTATTACTTTAAGTAGCTGTGTTTGTGTATATACATATTATTTGTCTAACATAATATTTTCAAATATCTTTGACCAATATGAGAATTTTTACATTATTTTTAAAATTTATGTTTTTGAGAGCAATTTTTTCATGTAGGTAAGTTAGCATTCTAAATGCTTATGCCATGCAAAATTCAAAAATAGCTATGTTTATATATTAATTCAAACATGCGAAATTAAATTAGTTTTCATAAATTTACCAGGTGTGAGCTGAAAAATTCCAGGCAGGAAAAAGAAATGTTGATAATGTTTAAGTATGTTAATGGTAGATACCAGAGTTCTGATTCTTAGTAATTCTAAATCGTCAGTAGTTATGCAGTAAAATTTTGGATGGCATCTTAAAAAATAAATCATTGTTTGGGAAATATGTGGTAAATATGTATGACTATGCACAAAAGACAGGTAACCTCCCACTACACACTCTAGGTCCATAATGGTTACATTTATGGTTGTGTTTTCTTTTTAGAATATTACTCTGTGAAAATGAAAGTGTTAGAAAAATGAGATTTTATTACTGCCTTTTCAACAAATTGCATGCAATAAAATAGAGATGAATAAATTTCTCTTGTTTACCATCTTACTGAAATGTAGCTGTGCCTAAGAGATGGATAATTTAGTTTCAGGCAGAGAGAAGAAACTCTGCTCAATCTGTTATTTAAATGACTAATCTTTCCGGCTAATCTTTCTTCTCTAGCGTATGTGCAGAAGGATAGTTTAAGGCATCCTTCATGTGATGGGGAGGAAAAAAAAACTGGCCGCAGAAGCTTTAATATGTATAGATTTTGTCTTTGGTTTCTTGAAGATTTCTTTACAATTTTTACTGAAAGCTGGTAACAAGTAGTGGTTTCCTGTTTTTAATTACCTCTCTGGAACACAATCTGTTACTGAGCGCTAAGGATGTGGAAAGGCAGACAAAAATGTTCCATCATTAAGAATGGATCTTNTACTGTTTGTATGAACCACAGTCATTATTTATGTGTTTCTAAGTACTCAAGGCATAATTTCTATACTTCTTATGCTATCTGTGGGAAGGAATGCTCAACTTCATTTCATATTAAGAGCACACCTTTATAATTTTCTCCCAGTTCTTTTAATGTTTAACTGCTTAGATTACATTCTATACAAATAGGAGATAAAATATTATCGGCAGGACTAGCACCCATAGAAGACTTTATGACAATCATAAAAACACAGCATAATAAATGTAAAGGTGTTCAAAATGACAGAAACACAGTTCAGAATGACAGAATAATAAATCTGTAATCTTGGTTGAAATAATTATTTGTCAAATTGGCTACTCCATTCCTTCCCTCCTCCCCCCTATTTTTATTCATACCCTTGAAAATGCTGGAGCTGTTTCAAAAATATTTCCTAAATGATTTTGGCCTCATGAAATGTTATTCATAGATAAAGCTTTGGGGTGAAAAATTTGAATACACACACAGAACATAAATTGCAATATTTTTCCTTGATATGGATAACAATCATGAACATTCTGCCACTTTCACTCTACATCCCAAGTATTTCTAATCTGCTAAAATGATTTCCAGTTGCTAGGAATATTGTCTATCTGCCACTTGTAATTCATTCAAAGTTGCATCACTGCAAACCAAATTTTACACAGAAGAATATATGAACTTCAAAGCAATAAAAGAAAAGCTTACATGTGATCAACTAAAGCCAAGACACAAACATTTTAAAATCTTGTTGAATACAAAGCAAGGGACCATAGCAAAATCCGTATCCCCTCTAATTCCTTGTGTGAGTTTGTCCTGATCAATGGGAATGCTATGTGCATACTCCACTCATATTAATTCCCCCCCAAAAAATAGAAT